CACCCTTCTATAATCTCTTCCCCTTGAGTACAGGTACAACTTGCTTAGGTATACCTTCTATAGGTATAGAATATGCAAAGGGGATGTCCCTGTGTGATTAGGTAACATAAGATCATAACTTCCATGTTGCTAGCAAGCTCTCTCTATTTCCTTCATGGATTACAAACTTTGATGAGATCAGCAATATTGGGGAGGTCCACTTTGCGAGGAACTAAGATTGACCCCTTGCCAACAGCAAGCTAGGAACTGAGACCCTAAATCCAGTTCAGTTCATAGGGAATTGAATCCTGGCAACAACCACATGAGCTTGGCATCATATCCTTCCCCAGTTGAACCTTCAGATGAGACTCCAGTCATGGCTGGCAATTTGATTACAGCCTTGTTAGAGACCCTGAAGCAGAGGACCCAGTACCTCTGACCCACAGAAACTATGAAATAATAAATGAGTGTTTTTAAAAATAAACAGCTACATATGTGGCAAGTTCTTATGTAGCAATAGATATATAATTCAATTATGAAGCAGATAATATTTTCCAAGACATACTAAACCCAGTATATTACTAGCCTCCTTTACTTTCATAGTGCTAGGTGATTTATGTGCAAGGCTGACAGTTTTTATTGGGAATTGAGCCAGTTAGGAAAGGAGTGAACTAGAAATGAGTAGCAATGTACTTAAAAAAGAGGGACTCAACCTAGGTGTGGAGGCTGACCCTCTCAGGCCAAGGTATCTAAAGAGCTTGGCAAGTTGCTAAAATAAGAGCAGCGGCCTCTACTGGGATAACCTACCTAAAGTCCTTTGCATTTGCTGTTTCTTCCATCTGAATCATTCTTTCCCCAGATATCCAGATGGGTCATATCCTTGCTTCACTTAGAGAGGCCCTCCCTGTCTGCAGTAAATAGACTATGACTCCCTATCACTATCTGTTCTCTAACCTTGCTTTATTATTCTTTAAAGCACTTAACACTGCCTGACATGATGTTACATACTGATTTGTTTATTGTCTTCTCCTTCACTAGAATATAAACTCCTCATGGGTAGGAACTCTGCTTATTTTGTTCACTGCTGCATATGCAACATTTACAACAGTACTTGTCATATAGTAAATGTTCAGCAAATATGTTTTGAGTGGATAAATCTACTTTCCAGTTTTTTTTTTTTTTTTTGAGGTACGCAGGCCTCTCACTGTTGTGGCCTCTCCCGTTGCGGAGTACAGGGAGATTTCTTTTGCTGTACAGAAGCTTTTTTGTTTGATATAGCCCCACTTGTTTATTTTTCCTTTTGTTGCCTTTGCTTTTGGAGTCAAATTTGAAAGAAACTCACAATGAGATATGACTATATACCTGTTAGAATGGCAAAAATTAATGGCCACAGGTTGTGGCCCAGCCGCTCCGCGGCATGTGGGATCTTCCCGGACCAGGGCACGAACCCGCATCCCCTGCATCGGCAGGTGGACTCTCAACCACTGCGCCACCAGGGAAGCCCTACCTTCCAGTTTTTACATTGACCAGAATTTGGTTGTCTGAAGGTTGGTGGGAGTTTTAAGGAGTGATGCCTATTCTTGGTCAGGACCCCGGTTAGTGGCTGAGAGATGAGGTATTCAGTCTTCACACAGGGAGATGCAGTGGCAGAAGCATATATACAGGCTGATATTTAGCACAGCTGCTCAAGACTAAGGCAAGAGCTGTGTGTGCTGCAACTCTGGGATTACGCAAACATCAGAGTTGAACCAGAGGGTCTGGGGGTAGTGAGGCAATTAAGTCTAGACTGTTAGAATCTGGAGAAATGATTTAATTCCATACCTAGACCCCTCTTCATTCTTTTTTCAGTTCATTTGTTCATGCAATAATTCAGTGCCTGGTGTTACTCTAGGTAAAGGAAATACAGAGACAAGTCAAGTAATATCCCTGTTTTCATTAACCTTGCATTCTAAAGGAGGAACATGGTCAACACAAACTAATAAATAATTTCTTATAGTGTTCATTGCTATGGAGAAATCATCATAAAAGAAGGTACTGGAATAAAGATGAATTTCATCTTCATGTTAGTGCTGTGTTGGAATCACTAGTTATTACTCAAAAAGAAGAGTTGCTCACACAGGGCATGCTCTAAGTAATGAATTACTAAGTAACTGGGAATTAGTAACTGTCATTTTCTATCTATAAATGATTTCTTAGATTATTAAGATGTGCAGTGTGTGTTCTACATTTATCAAAAAAATAATTGATTATAATCAGTTTTATAGGTAATTGATATGAATACTTGATAACCACTTATAGAAGAAAGTAAGGTAGAATTTAGCTTTGGGATTTACCACAATATATATTTGTAAGCTTTAAATATGTTTGACTTAAGTATCTTAGAATTGATTAGTGAGTCACATTTACTGAGACAGCATAGTCAAAGTTCAGCTCTCTGAAACCCTCAGCAGTGATTTGTTCTATACAGATAAGATTTCTGTGAAAGTGAAAGTGAGTATACTGTCCTTTAAAAAGCAAAACTTAGTTTATCATTAAGAAATATTGATTTAATTTCTGCTATTTCAGGCACTGTGTTAAGTACCAAATATGCATTGAAGAAAACAAGTATTGTCCTTGTCCTCATGGAGTTTACGGTCAAGTAGGGGAAACATACTTTAAACAAGTAAAATTAGAAATTGTGGTAAATGCAAAGAAGACAAAGAACAGATTGTTATGAGAATATAACAAAAGGAATATGATTTAGATTAGAGGAGTTCAAGAACCGTGAAGGATCTGAGATTTTTAACCCCACTTAAAAAGGCTAGCCTGCCAAAGTGTTCTGAATATTGTCAGAAGACATGAGACTCCTGGGTCAGAGCAGAACTTTATTACTCACAGCATAGCAAGCCACGTGAGCATGGGCATATTTGTATGTTGGTTCCCCGTGCCTCCAGGCCTCCTGGGGAGACACAGTTTGGGCCCATGTGAATGGTACGTATGCTGTGAGTTTGTGTCACAGGTGAGAACTTTAAGCTTGGACAATCTACAGCTTTTGCCATAAGCAGTAAGCAAGCCTGCTCTTTGTGTGCAGGGCAAAGTTACCTCATGTTTCAAGGTTGCTTGCTACAAATGCAAACCTGATAAATGGCCTGGATGAAGAGCAACCAGGGCCTCGCATTGACATAACTTGCAAGAATGTGTGGGGACACTCAGGCCATGGTGAATGGCCTCTTCATCAGCAAGGAGAGATTTCACAGAAGTCCTCTCCAAGATTTTTTTTTTAAACAGCTTTACTAGAGTATAATCGGTATACAGTAAACTGAACATAAAGTGTACAGTTTGGTAAGTTTTGACATATATGCACACCCATGAAAGCATCACGAGTCAAGATCAGTGAATGTATTTCTCACCCGCAAAAGTTTCCATGTACCCCTTTGTAATTCCTCTCCCCGCCATCTCCTTTCTTCTTCCCCAGGCAAATTCTGACCAGGTTTTGTCACTATCTATTGGTTTACCTTTCCTAGAGCTGTGTACAGATTGAATGATACAGCATGTATTGTGTATTCTTATTTGTCTTTCATGCAGCATGATTGTTTTTAGATTCATCCATATTGTATTATGTATTTACTTCTGGATAGTATTCCATTGTGCAGATATACTATAGTTTGTGTATGCATTCACTTGTTGATGGACATTTGGGTTGTTTCCAGTTTGGGGCTATTACAAATAAAGGTGCTTTGAATGTTCATATAGAAGTCTGTATATGGACATATACTTTTTTTTCTGTTGGATAAACATGTAGAAGAGGAATAGTTTGACCATGTGGTGGGTATATCTTTAACTGTTTAAGAAAATGCTAGGCTGTTTTGCAGAATGATAATACAGTTTTTCCATTCTGCCAAGAGTTTCAGTTCCTCTATCCTCACCATTTGATTTTTTTTAAATTTTTGCCATTCTAACAGGTATATAGTCATATCTCATTGTGATTTTCTTTCGAATTTGACTCCAAAAGCAAAGGCAACAAAAGGAAAAATAAACAAGTGGGACTATATCAAACAAAAAAGCTTCTGTACAGCAAAAGAAATCATCAACAAAATGAAAGGGCAGCCTACTGAATGGGAAAAAATATTTGCAAATCATATACCTGATTTGCAGGTATATGGGTTTATATCTAATATATACATAGAACCCATACAACTCATAGCAAAACATCAAATTATCCCATTAAAAAATGGGCAAAGGATCTGAGTAGACATTTTTCCAAAGACAACAGATAGATGGCTAACAGGTACGTGAAAAGATGCTCAGCATCACTAATCATCAGCAAAATGGAAATCAAAACCACAATGAGGTATAATCTCAAACCTGTTAGAATGGCTAGTATCAAAAAGACAAGAAATAACAAGTGTTGATGAGGTTGTGGAGAAAAGGCTGGGAATGTAAACTGATGCAGCTGCGAGGAAAGAGTATGGAGGTTCCTCCAAAAAAATTAAAAACAGAAATGATCCAGCAATTCCACTTCCAGGTATTTATCCAGGATTTTAAAAATATTTCTGTTACTGATTTCTAATCTAAAACTGTTTTGGTTTTTATACTTTGTATGACTTGGAACCTTTTAAATTTATTTAGACTGTTTCTATCAGAAATTGTTGATCTTGGTAAATGTTTCATGTGTACTTGAAAATAATGGCTACTTTGCTGTTTTGGATAAAGTATTCTATAGATGTCAATTACTGATTTTCTGTGTACTTGTTTTATCATTTACTGAGAGAAAGAAACTCCTCAACTGTAATTGTTGATTTGTCTATTTCCTTATAGATTAAGTTTCAAAATATATGGTCCACATATCACGTGCAGTAAGTAGTCTGGGAGGAAAATTACTGTTACTGGCATTATTTTGAAAGACCTTATTAGAACACATCTTTGGTTTGTCCTATAGTATAGGCTATTTCTGGCACCATCTTCACATACAAAAGAAATTTTTATTTGCTACATTTTATTTTTTATCATTTATCTAATCATTGTATTGTTTTGCTTGGCAGCTTCTATGTTTTTGAAACAGGCATTTGAAGGAGAATACCCTAAATTATTGCGTCTTTATAATGACTTATGGAAGCGTCTTCAACAATACAGCCAAAGTATTCAAGGAAATTTTAATTCCAGTGGAACTGCAGACCTCTATGCTGACTTACAACACATGGAAGATGATACACAAGACATATTCATACCAAAGAAGCCAGATTATGAGTATGTTTGTTTAATCAAACCTGTTTGTTGGCCTGTTAAGGATTTTGTCTTTTATTTTTATTGTAAGTTAGAAAATGGGAAAACGCAAATCTTTGTGAATACTTGTAATGATTACTATTCACTTATTTACTTTAAAAGACTTCACAACACTTTTAACTGAAGAAGTCGAAATTTATCCTTAGTTGAGCAGCCTGGTTCCTGATTAAGATTCATTTTAAAGTATATCACCAATTAAGGTGAATAGAAGCTAAGAGATGAGCATATGTGGTCATTATCGTTTAATTGATATTATAAGATAACCTGTAATTACATCAGACAGCATCATCATTGATGGACCACTGGCATAAATGTGATATAAAAGGAAATGGTGTGTTCAGGAACTATAGCGGAAATAAATCTTATGCTGGGATAGATTCTCCATCTGGTGGGAAAAACCTAAGTACAGTCAAAATTAAACCTGAAAATCTCTTAGATTATTCATGAAGTCATATTTATAAGCCACATCAGAAAAATAATACCACCTCAATAAGCTTAAACCAGCCAGCTTTCCTCCTAAATTGAAAAAGAGTATTGTTTTCAGATTTCTCTTTGAGCACCAAATCAATTGATTGGCTTGCACACCATCTTTAAACACTAGAATCATTTATTGTGATGAGACTGACTCAAGTAACAGTAGATTCTGATCACTGACCTTGTAAGAAAAAGGTTAGATTTATGAGTGCTATTTTAATGTTTATCTTAAAAAATTTTTATTCTGAATACTTATAGCTGAATTGTATCCACTGTAGTAAGAAGTTCTGACTGGTAAAATACAGGACGTAGAAGTTTTGACTGGGAAAACAAGTGGCGTAAGGGTAGGCTGGTATGATAGAAGGAGACGCTGTTGTTCTCTTCAGTTACTCTTTGATGCTAAACATGGAGATTAGGTGAGGACTAATGGAAAGAGGGGACAAGAAGACTGAAAAGTTATCTGTTGATCTTGAAAAATCTTGTAATGTATTAAGGTTTTTTTAAGTATACAAAATAGCATACATAGTATCATTGTATTTCTGGTTTAGTTTTATTTTTAAATTCATATGTTGGCACTGAAAAGCTCTGGAAAATATACATAGCACAAGGTAATAGTGTTTTATGTCCAAGAGGTAGAGTTTTTATTCTGTATTTTCTGCTTTTACTTAAAATGAGCATATGTTACTCGTGGGGATAGAGGAAAGGCAGTAAATGCAATGTAGAAAAAAAAATCAGAATGAAAAAAAACCACTGTGTTTTGGGACATCCTCTTCACCTTTTGGAGACTGACTTCAGTGAGGTGGGGAAGAAGACTTATGACCTGTATTCTTCTAAGAAACCAAAAAATAATGACGATATAATAAGGAAACAATGACAATATGATTTATATTTTCTTTTGAGAAGTGAGGCAAGAAACAAACATAAATTTGACCATGCTAGCTGAGCCAAAGGAAAGTTTTTTGTTGTTGTTTTTAATGATAGAGGGAAAGCTGAGAGTTTTTATAGATAGAAGTAGCCATTGGAGAGAGAAAGTGAAGAAAAGAGATAATGAATGGAACGAGACCTTAGAATAATCTGAATAGAATCAAGGCACAAATAACCAGGTTAACGTTTTTCATCATTGAGTATTTATGCTGAATTTTTGAAAGCTGTTCTTACTATGAAGAAAATAAAACAAGATAATGTGACAGTGTTTTATATAGGGTGGTCAGAGAAGACCTCTATGAAAAGGTAACATTTGACCCAAGATCGAGATAATGTGAAGAAATCAACTGTGGAAGATTCGGAGTAAGATTTTTGCAGGTAGAGAGAAGAGCAGATTTAGAGCCTGAGAAAATTAAGATGGGGAGGTTGAGGAATAGAAAGCTGAACACAATGAATGAGGGAGAGTGGGGGATAAAAAATTGGGTCGGCGAGGAGGGGAAACGTAAGGTCATGTAGGGCTTTATTCACCATGATATGGGGTTTAGAGTTTATTCAAAACACTGGAAACCTTTGCTTTTAAACAGAGGAATGAGATGAACTGATAAACATTTAAAAATTAGCATGCCGGCTTCTTTGTGGACAACTGAGGGGGAGTGTCACCACAGGGAAAGAGAAGCTGTTTTGTTTATCCAGACAAGAAATGATAATGGCTTGAAGTAGGATGAGTGGATGAGATGGTGAGAACTGGTCGAATTGATTCGAGATATAGCTTAGAGGGCAAGCTAGTAGAACTTGCTGGTAGATCACATTTGAGAGGAAAAGAAGAATCAAGGATATGTGTGGACAAGTTGGGAGAAGCCTAATGATTGGAAGACATTGTTTCATCGAGTAGTGGGTTTTTGTTTTGTTTCTTTTTTGTTTCTTTGTGGGTTTTTTTTTGTCTTTTGGCCATGCTACACGGCTTGTGGGATTTTAGTTCCCTGACCAGGGATCGAACCCAGGCCCTCCACGTTGAGAGCATGGAGTCCTGACCACTGTACTGCCAGGGAATTCCCCATCGAGTAGTGTTAAGGTTTTTCTTTTGAAACTGTTGAATCAAAGATGCAAATTGTGTTGTTGAAAAGGTAGTTGAATGTGAATCAGGGCTAGAAATACATATTTGAGAGTCATCACTATGCAGATCTTTAAAAATCATGGGACTGGAGGAGATTCCATAGGGAAGATATATATAAAGAGAAAAGGGAACTTTGGCCCAAAATATGCACTCCAAAATTTATAGATTGTGCAGAGGAGTGGCAGCCTGCAAGACTAAGAGGAAAAAAAATGGTGAGATAGGAGGAAAACTGAAACTTATGTGGAACCCCAAAGAGTGAGTTCATTTCAGTCAGAAGAGGAATGGTTAACTGTGTCACATGCTGTTGAAAACCTGAAGAAGCTTAGGACTGAGAAGTGACCTCTAGATATAGCAAAATAAGGTTGTTCAAGGCCTAGGTGTGGAATGGTGGATACAAAGCATTATTAGAATTGATGAAAGACAGAATGGGAGGAGATTGACTTCTGGGATGACAGCCGTCCCCACTCCGCTGACCCACCCCACAGTGAATCTGGTGAAAACTATTAAAAACCAAACAATTTAACGTGTCTGGAAATGGTTTTAAAAGCAAACAGCAAATGAAAAATCATCGACTCAAGAAAGTCTATGAAAATTCAGTAGAAAGAATTCCATAAGAGCCTGTGATATTAGAACCAAGACTGTTGTTCCTCCCTCCCTCTTCCCAGCTCATCAAGGCATAGGCTCCACTCAGGACTGTGACAGCCAAGAACAAAGGGCTCCCTCCCCCACCACTCCTAACTGGAGGGCTTTCTTCCTAAGAAGAGCAGAACCGCAGCATTTCTCATCCTGCCCTCAGCTGCCAGTTAGCAGAAGCCTCAGACAGATGAGATCAATAGGTGGGTGCTTCCTTATTGTGCACAACACCCATCTGTTATGTATATCTTATCACAATAAAAACAAAACATATTAAGCAAATTAAAAAAAAATTTTTAATGTGTTCACACACAAATTTGTAATGAATGTTTATAGCAGCATTCATAATCACCAAAAGATAGAAACACCCAAAATGTCCATCAGCAGACAGATGGGTAACCACATGTGATATATCCACACATGAATGAAGGAATGAAGAACTGACACATGTTACAACATGACTGAACCTTGAAAAAATTAATGCTAAGTGAAGAAAGCCAGATATAAAGCCCATATGCTGTATGATCCTATTCCTATGAAAGTTAAGAATAGGGAAATCTATAGAGATATAAAGCATGTTAGTGGTTGCTTAGGGCTGGGGATGGGGTGGGGGGGGTAAAAGATTAAAGCTAAAGGCTATGAGGTTTCTTTTGAAGGTGATAAAAATGTTCTGGGATTGAGCATGGTGATGGTTGCACATCACCATGAATATACTGAATATATATTGAATATACTGAAAGCCATTGAATTATACACTTTAAATGGTTGAATTGAATGTAAATTAAATCTTGATAAAGAAGTTTTAAAAAAAGAGAGAACGGGAAAGAAGGAGGTAGGTAATTCTTCTGAGAGGTTTTGATATGAACAAAGGAATAAAGCTACTTTTTCTTTGGGATAAGAGGAAAATCGCTGAGGGTAGGTGAAGTTACAAAGGAAAAAATAAGCTAGTAAGATCATTGCCACTGGTTTTGGTCTTAGTGTAAAGTTGAGGCAGATGGTCAGCTGTGGAGAGTAAAGGGCTGCAGAAGTAGAATTTTAATACCTGGAGCTTCAGGTCTCTTGAAATTAAGAGGTTTGCATAAACATTTAATAGAAACAATTTACTTTTTCTCTGCAATACGTGGAACGCTTAGCAGCAGATACAGAGACCATCTAACTGAGATTTTCTTCGTAAGAGCTTTGAAAGGAAGGTAAATTAGAAAAATCAAGATGCTAATGAGAGCACCTTGAAACGGTGGAGGATGAGCGTAGGGTTTCGTAGCACTGATCACTGTAAGGTCAAAGAGCAAGTTCTTTTGAGTAAAATCTAGCACTTTTATTGATATACAAAGCCCAGCATGATTTGTTCTGTCTGTTTTCTCTTAGACCTCATCTTGTACTGTTCTCCTGTCACTTAAGTGCTCTGTTTCTCTAACTTTTTGTCAAATGCAGCCAGGTCTAAGTCTCTTCTCAGGGCCTTTGAGCTTGTTCTCTTCCTACAGAAAGCGCCTACCCTGGAAATCTATATAACTTGCTCCCTCTTTTCCCTCACATCTTCTCAGGAAGCTTTCCCTTTCCTCACCCTATGTAAAATTGGATTAAAAACAAAAACGGTCTCTGGCTTCCTTACTTCCTTTTTCTCTTAGAATTTTTTACTCTCCATTGTATTCCGTAGTTAACTCATTTAAAAATTTTATTTCTTTTTTTGTGTGTTTCTCAGAAGTCTTTTTTTTTTATTAGTTTTTATTGCAGTAGAGTTGATTTACAATATTGTGTTCTCAGAAGTCTCTTTAAGGGGACAGGGAGTTTTTTTTAACTGACTTCATTGCTACATTTCCCGCATCTAGGAAGTACCTGGCAAATTGTAGACATTTAAGAGAATTTGTAGGCGGGAAGGAGATGGCGGCAAGTGGGGGCGTGGAAAGTTGTCTTCGAGCTTGGAGACGTCACAGTTAGAGCAGTTCAAAACGATGACTCAAACATGGAAGCTCCATAGTAAAGCTAAAATGAAAGTAGACTTCTAGTACAGGACAGGTTTTAGAAAAGTTGTTTGTTTTGACATTGTAATCACCAAGGATCCTTCCCCCCTCCGCACCCCCCAGATTCTTCAGGTTTTCCAAAACTAACAGGGTGGAGTAAGGTAGGGAGCAGGGGAGGCAGGCAGCCACTGGGGCAGGGCTGAGGGAGGCTGTGCTCTGCCCCCACCTGCGGCCGGCCCCCTGCCGGGTCGTCGTTCGCTTGTCCTCCATCTCTGTGTCAGCAGGCTGCTCTCCTGCGACGACCGCAGCCTTGGTCTTGCTCTCCTCTTCAGCCAGCCTCTCAAACATGTTGGCATAGAGCTGCTTCTCCCGTGCGAGCTGCTTGAGGAGTGGCTGCTGGCAGATAGCCAGCTGGGCCTTGGCAGCTTTGGTGTTGGAGTAGAGCTGCAGGACCTTCTGGAAGGATCCTTGGAGAAGAAGAATGTTAGTACTTATAATTTAGTGCTGAAATTTCTGCAGAAGAGAGAAGAGGCTTCTTAAGGTCAGTAAATGACCAGAGCAAAAATAGGGAAGACATTTAAATAGCTGGCGTGGACTTCAGTAGAGGATTGCCTCAGACACATTTAGACACTAGTTCTTCCCTGTTCCCATTGTGGTCTTTCTCTCATCATCTGTTATGGAAGTTATCATAGTTCACACTTTACCTGCACATTTCTTCACTGGACTGTAAAGCGAATTTCATCTCTATCCTCCCAGCACTCAGTGAGGGCTGGCACATAGTATTCTCAGGAACTATGTGTTGAGTGAAATACTTATTGAATGAGAAAGTGTTAAGATAAGTATGGAATTGTGATGTAGGAGCCAAGAGCGTTCTGACCTCTAGGTCTTGTCAGTTGACCAGCAAAGGTGGAAAAGGAGAAAGCCAAGTTTCCTATACCTGAAGGAGTAGGTCAGATGTTTGCAAAATGAACATTTAGGATTAAGGGGGATTTGTTTTTGTTTGTTTGTTTAAGATAATGGAAAGGCCAGTAGAAGGATCATAAACAGGGGTGATGTGAGAAGATACAGAGTTAATTATATGGTTATAGGTATTTGATAGTAATTGTCAGAGGTAAAATATAAGATCCAGTAGTTGGACAAGTAAATGAAAATCAACAGAAATAACTGAAGACATAGGAGGACTGAGGAGGAAAGAAGTGTTTAGTAGGCTAAATTTTAGTTTGTGAAGAATGTTGTAAAACAAATTAACTTAGAACTACAATTAGGAGTATTTGGGTGATTGTGGGACTTGCACAAGCACTTTTTACTTTGTCCTCATTCTTGTTAGTATCAGTTTTGGCATCAGAAGGCTGATAAAAACCTACACCTGTATACTTCCCTTTTAGGCACTGAGCTTATGAGAGGGCAGCTGTTGTGTGTGAAAAGGGTTGAGCTTGTGGGAGCAGGTCTCTGCAGACTTGCCTCTCTTGTATGCTCTATAGAAACGTGCTAAGTGAAGGCCTGGCCCCATTAGAATTAATAAGATTTTACAGTGTTACTCTTAGTTTCAAGCGACAAACTTACTACAGTAGGTACTAGTGCATATTATATAACATTTATGCCCAGGAATTATGTATAAATTAAAATGTTTAGTTCTTAATAAGCATTTGATTATGTAAATATATTTATACATTTTTAAACAAAATTTTTTCTTTTCTTCATATAGAGTTACATTTTATATAGGAGATACGTTTTTAAGAAAGGCATTTACAACCTGATACACTAGCACTTAGTTTTGTATCATTTAAGTTCATTTTTAATAAACTTTGTTCCCACAGTCCCGGAAAGGCTTTGAAAGACTCACTACAACCCTATGAGGCTGCTTATCTATCAAAATCCTTATCTCGACTCTTTGATCCGATCAACTTGGTTTTTCCCCCTGGTGGTCGTAATCCTCCTTCTGCCGATGAACTTGAAGGTATCATTAAAACTATAGCAAGGTATGTATTTTCATATAGTGGCATGCCGTAAAATGCCTGCCACATTTGTTAGCGATGTATAATGGCAGTACATCTTTAATTTATCTCAAATCATTCAAAGAATTAGTCTGGAAATTAAATCAAGCGTTTTGCATTGAGTGAGTGCACATGTAGTAAGCATCAGCACTTGAGATTCCAATTAATAAAACCATTTAAATACAGTCTAAAAATAGTCAATTATCATTATTCTGTGTCTTGTCAAGGATACAAAGTAAAACAACCTAATTCTTTATGCCATAGTAAATTTCTAATATTACGTAGGAAAGTTAATATAAAAATAATTTTACAAATTGAGAAGCTAAAGCATGGACATCAACTTTTTTTTATCTTAAATCCAGAAAGTACTTCATGGCGTACAAGGATTATAATCCTGATTAGTCTACTTGTGTTTGCTATTTTAAGCTTTCTAAGTGAATGTGACAGCTTTTAAAACTCTCAAAAGGGAAGATATCCTAGCAGGTTGTGCAACCTGAATGGTTGCGGACAATGTATTGTACTGTTGCTTTTAGACATTTTACGGACCCCCCAGGTTAATCTGCAGTTGAGACTGTCTCAGTTCCTGTCATAATAACAAGTTGTCATAACAGTAGGTCTATACATTTATTTATAGGTGAACATTTTGAGGAGTAAAATTAGTAGTTAGGCAATATAGAACCAAGGTATAAAAGTCTAGATTCTTTTAGATTACAAATTTGAAGATGGTGATTCTGAGGCATGTGAGAGAACAATTAAAAAGCCACAGGTATAATATGCGTATCTATCTAAATACAGCATCGAAATTGCCCAGCATCTTGATCCTAAATCTTTCCACAGTTATCTTGACTTTCCAAAGTCCTGACTGAAGACGTTTATACCCTAATGTCTCCGTTATTTGTTTCATATGGTAGTGACAAAACTGGTCATGGATTGAACTTGATCTCTTTACCTGTTTATGGACATGTTACCTGTTTATGGACTGCACCCATTCCCCGGTGCATTTTGACAATGCTGTGATCAATTGTAAGGTGGGACTTGAAGAAGCATACTTATGCCATTGTTTAATAGAATGTGAAAGTGAACTTTAATAAAATTATGTCTCACTGGTATATGAAAGGGCATTTTTGTCACACATAGTAAGCACTAATGTTGTTTTAAAGTCCTTCACTTTCTTCATAAAGGCAACCTGGTAAGTGCCAAGATTTATTCTGCTACTTGAGAGACAATAATTACTTTTCTTGCTTTTCTACTTGTATATGCATTTTCATGCAATTTTTAACTCTTAATTAAAAATTAACTTTAAAGAAGTTAACTTTCCATGGTCTTTGTAAATACTTTTTTTTTGCAATTACCTCAAATGTCCCAATTAATCCAATGTTAAATTGAAAATAAGCATGACAGAGAAATACTTTAAGAATCCAAATTTTTAAAATATCAAGTTAAATCCTTGTTATGCTTTTGATATATTTAAAAAGCTATTTAATCAAAATAGCATGAATTGGCATAATTTCTACAGAAACTGAGTATCTTTATGTATCGTGTAATTTATATTTTTAGCCTTTGTCCTTCCAAGGTTACCATTTCCATTCAAGAGCTGTCATTTCCTTGCAGATGTCTGTGACATGCAGTGTCTCTAATTGCACTTACCAGTATTAACAAGAGTGCTACTTGAAAAATCTGCACACAATTTACTCTCTTAATCACAGCCTGAACTCACACATGACATGCTTTTATTAATGAGAAACTGGTCATTAACCAGACAGTCTTAGAGCACTTTTTCCTAATGGTGAATTTAGGAGTGAAAATGAAACAGTGCAATCAATCAGTTCTTGGAGGCAACCAGTGAAATCTATAAAAAAAAAATCACCACATTGTTTATTGGGATTAGGTTTATATGTTGCTCTTTACTTTGTTGATGAACTGTGTTGCTAATAATTAAAGTCTGTTTTTGTTTTCTCCAGTGAACTAAATGTAGCTGCTGTTGATGCAGACCTCACATTAGCTGTGTCAAAAAACGTGGCAAAGACCATCCAGTTGTATGGTGTAAAATCAGAGCAGCTGGTAAGTGATAATCCCTTCTGTAAACTTTAATGATTTTGTTTAAAATTACTAATTATACAGTACTTGACTAACTATAAATATTGAATTGACTGAATACTAATTTACTGGAAAATTTTATAGTGAATTTTTGAAACTTTCTTATGAATTTAAACCAGAAAAAAATGTTACCTCTTAAAAATTGGCCCTCCTACCATTGCTACACTTAAAAAATGCAGGCAGGTTTTATAAGACTTTTTAAAAAATGCATGTGCCACTTTATGGGCTAAATTATGTATATTTTTAAGTGTAATTATTTCAGATTGATCAAATTTCCTGTCATGAGACCCCTCACCCCAGATATCATTCATGTGCTGTTACTTAGTGTGAAATTGACTTGAACCATTAGAAAATGATTGGAGGAAGTGAAGTGCTTAAAACTGTAAAAGAAAAATGTTGATTTACTTTCTAAAGGTTCGAGCCCTAGACTGTGGACGTTTAGCTCCAAAATTACTCTTTTTGAAACAGCTGTTTGCATATATTTAAAATAATAGATGCATGCCTGAATCATAATTTTAATTCTCTACATTAATGTTTTAAAGTTAAGCATGCATATTTAGCTAGTAGATATGTATGCTAACTGAAATCCAAGGAGTAGGGCTTTAGTACATCTTTAACTGTCATTGATGGACTAATTTTAGAGAATGTGCCAAAATGTGGTATCTCTACTGTCATTATACGGATAGCTGACCATGTTTTTTTGTTGTTGTTGTTTGGCTTCCCTGACTGCTCCAATTGAAACATTGTAAAATGAAGTACAGTTGACTCTTGAACAACTTGGGGGTTGGGTACCTACCCTCCCTGCAGTCAAAAATCCATGTATAATTGATAGTCAGCTCTCCGTATTCGTAGTTTCTCCTTGTCATCCCTTCCGTGTCGGTGGATTCAACCAACTGCGGATCATGTAGTACTGTAGTATTTACCACTGAAAAATATCTGCAGGTAAGTGGACCCTCCCAGTTCAAACCCATGTGTTCAAGGGTCAGTTGTAATCTGGCTTTACCTATATCCTGGTAGTTCTAGTTGGTTCTGGAATAATTTTTAGAGTAGGTTGGTAACAAATTGAACTTAAGGAATTTGCATAAAATGATCCTTGGTGCTAACAATCATTTCATGAGACTTCCTGCTTTCACTTCCAATGGATGGCTCCATTGTGTTTGCATATTAATATGGTGCTATTTTCTACTCAATTATTCTTGCAGTCTTGACAAATAATTTAGAAGCATCTTTTTTTTTTAACTTTGTTTATTGAAAACTGGCCCTACAGAGACCATGGAAGCTCTTTGTAGATAATAAGATGACTAATTTTTCTCTCAAACTTTTTTTTATAGAAGCTTTATTATGATACTTATTACTTTTAAAAACATGGTTTATTGCTATAAATGAAATTCGGTATTATATCCAGTAGAGTTCAGTGTAATTACTGGAAGTGTCAGGAAAAAAATATCCTTATGAGATGGTCCCACCTGAAAACAGCATTATAAAGAAGAGCCAGCATATGTATGGAAAATATATCACTCTTCTGTGTCAGGCAGGGGCAGTGGGAAATGTAACATGTGACTTCAGTTAAGGCAGTGGTGGCAAAAGGCTTTAACAAAATTAAAATATATCAAAAACATTGGATTGAATTGATGCTGTTGGTCAAATAGTCTGTGACCCTAAATTACTCAGGACTACCATCCTACAATGCTAAAGGGTAACAGAAAGTTCTGGACTTAAAATTTTTTTTTTTAGACAGCAAACATGGTCTACGTTTGATTCATTCCAATAGAATACATTTGATCACATTTTTTTTTTTTTTACACAGCAGGTTCTTATTAGTCATCCATTTTACACACATCACTGTATACATGTCAATCCCAGTTGCCCAATTCATCACACCACCACCACCACCCCTCAGCCACTTTCCCCCTTTGGTGTCCATACATTTGTTCTCTACAACTGTGTCTCAATTTCTGCCCTGCAAACCGGTTCATCTGTACCATTTTTCTAGGTTCCACATATATGCGTTAATATACGATATTTGTTTTTCTCTTTCTGACTTGTTTCACTCTGTATGACAGTCTCTAGATCCATTCACGTCTCAACAAATGACCCAATTTCGTTCCTTTTTATGGCTGGGTAATATTCCATTGTATATATGTACCACATCTTCTTTATCCATTCTTCTGTTGATTGGCATTTAGTTTACTTCCATGACCTGGCTGTTGTAAATACTGCTGCAATGAACATTGGGGTGCATGAGTCTTTTTTTTTTTTCTCTTTTTCGATACGCAGGCCTCTCACTGTTGTGGCCTCTCCCGTTGCAGAGCACAGGCTCTGGACGTGCAGGCTCAGCGGCCATGGCTCACAGGCCTAGCCGCTCCACAGCATGTGGGATCTTCCCGGACCGGGGCACGAACCCATGTCCCCTGCATCGGCAGGCAGACTCTCAACCACTGCACCACCAGGGAAGCCCGCATGAGTCTTTTTGAATTATTGTTTTCGCTGGGTATATGCCTAGTAGTGGGATTGCTGGATCATATGGTAATTCTATTTTCAGTTTTTTAAGGAACCTCCATACTGTTCTCCATAGTGGCTGTATCAGTTTACATGCCCACCAACAGTGCAAGAGGGTTCCCTTTTCTCCACACCCTCTCCAGTATTTGTTGTTTGTAGATTTTCTGATGATGCCTATTCTAACTGGTGTGAGGTGATACCTCTTTGTAGTTTTGATTTGCATTTCTCTCATAATTAGTGATGTTGAGCAGCTTTTCATGTGCTTCTTGGCCATCTGTATGTCTTCTTTGGAGAAAGGTCTGTTTAGGTCTTCTGCCCATTTTTGGATTGGGTTGTTTGTTTTTTTAATATTGAGCTGCATGAGATATTTATATATTTTGGAGATAAATTGTTTGTCCATTGAATCGTTTGCAAATATTTTCACCCATTCTGAGGGTTGTCTTTTCGTCTT